GGTTTGACTTGGAGGGCTCTTAATGCTAGTTGAGGCTAGAAATAATGAAGTAAGAAAAATAAACATAATCTACATTATAATGTATTAAACATCTATAGTCATATTTTCTATAATTAGTGATGTTCCGATTGTCGCAAGTCGCTGATAATCAGTTACTGTTATGTAAAGCGACAATAATCGATTCACAAAAAATTGTTCCGCGACGTCGTCAAAAATGTTTAAAGTATCAAAACGAATTAATTCTGACAGTAATTTTAATTTTCGATCGCAAAAAAATTATCTTAGAGACAATTTGGAGTTGAATAGGATCAATACGTGATGTAAACAATAGAAAAATAATGTGATGTGAATGTTATTATTTGACATCCATTGGAAAATTAAATCTATTTCGTAAAATAATAACTAAATAGGGTTAAAACTGTGTTTAAAAGTGCTAAATGAAGTTCATGTTACTGAATATAATCAAGTGCCTTTGGAAAAAATGCTTCTTCCTCATTTATTTTTAACGCGACTTTAATCGGAAAGTTATCGATTATGTCCCATCCGATTGAACCGATGATCGATTGGGACAAATTTCATCCGATTTCCATCACTATCTATAATATTTTTAGCAGATATATCACACTATTAAAGCCATATAATTATAATATACAAGCTCTCATATTAATTTCTTCTGGAAGTTTCATGATTCAATGTAAAATCTAGTTATTCAGCTTTTATCAGACAGATAAATAAAATTAACTTTCTTTTAATTCTTAACATTATCTTAAATCTTTCAACACAATCTTACTCATAAATAAGAAATGGGGTCCCATCAACTATAAGTATATGTTACCTGTTTCATTGCTATAAGTCTGGTTCCACACAATATTAGATTATCTATATGATGATCCAAGCCAAACAACTTCTCCTCAATCACTGTTTCCTTCTTACACACCTTTTTCACAGATTTTTGAGCTTTTGGCGAGAAACTTTTTTCCCACATTTCAATAGCACGGACAAGAAAAGGGAGATTATCCTGTTCCTGTTGAAGAGTGTACCTCGAGTTAGCTGATAAGTCAGCAGTCCCAAAATATTCTAAATCTCCAGACTTATTTTTCATATACTGAAAGATAACAAAATAAACATCATCTTAAAATACATTCAGATCTAAAATACGCTTAAATGCTATGGAAAAAAAATTAAGCATTGAAAGTCTTGTAACATGTAAACAGTGTATGCTAAGACAAAATCTATTAGAAATATGTCTATAGAACACAGATGCCCACATTTTCTACTGTTTTGTCAGTATACCAACGGAAAGGTTGACAGTAAAACATTTGGATGAAAGGAGAAGGGTAAATCTATATGCTCCCCACCCATGAATATAAAATGCAGTGTACCATTTTCCTTACTTACTTTATGTATTTATGTGATGGAACTGTTAGATGACAAAACAAACTGCATAGTAAATAGTAAATATGAAGGTCAAACTGAAAGCAAGTGAAGGCTAGCCTTACATACTGATGCTAAACATGTATGTACTAGGATTATCAGATGTAATACCAATAACTCAAAGTGTTAAATGGTTATAACCAATAATATTATATCAAATTTCCATCCCATAGTGGAGAATTTACCTCAATTGCCTCCTCATGTAAGATGGCATACTTTGTATAGCAGGCTACGGCCAGTGTACTCTCAACTCCAGCAAGATTTTTGTCTAAAGCAATTATAGCCTTGTTTAAAAGTTCACCAGCTGACCTGAAAGAAAAAAACAATATGAAGACATTTAAAAATTAACATTAATCTCCATAATAGGTATGGTAAGATAAAAGTGTGATATTTGAAAAAGAAAAACCAGAATTATGGACGATAAACATACAGTCCAGACTGTCATGTGTGAATTCCTAAGGGACCTTAAGAAAATCAATAGCTTTAATATCATTATGCTAACTTTCCATTTTAATTGGTAGAAGTAAACCATAGATGCATTTTTGTACATTTAATCAAACACATCCATGACATAGCATAAAATGTGTAAAATATCCTTCAACACATCTTTAAAAGTAAAGGTAAAATAACTTACATGTTATTATATTTGTAACCAGTTATACACATGTTGGATGCTAGGGCTACCATGGCTTCAGCTTTCTCACTGGGTGTTTGCTCTGTGTCTTCTAATAGTTCTACAAATACTGGATACTCCATATCAAACTGTCTCCTGTAATAAATATCTTATCTTGATTCAACAGCAACACAAATTATAACTAACAGTTTTCGTGTCCTTTTTGTCAAGTTTTTAAGTCACACCAACACTATAAAGATCATAGGCAATTTTCAAACAATATATGTAAAGGAAGACATCAGGTTCTCCTCTGTTGATTATTTTAAGAGGGAGCATTCAACTAGGAACTGTCTGTTATTAAAATTAAGACCTACAGTAGTGAGGGGCAAATATATTCATCAGCCTGAACAACTAGGCAATGAAAGCACCATTATATTTCATATATTCAAGATAACAAAACTATCAATTATTGAAAATGGTATTTAAACATCCCAAACCTGGCTTAATTCCCTTTAAAATTATCATTTATTATTGGCTGAGTATTTATTAATTACTGAAAAATAGCTTTCATCAAAACAGGTAAACAACTAAAGATAAATGTCATTAAACAAAGGTATTTTTTATTGTAAAATAAAACAATAAAAGAAGGTTGAAGAAGTTTTATTGATTTCTACACCTATGATAGAAGAACTACAGTGAGAGATATAAATACCTTGAGTGTTGTTTCCAAGCCTGATATTCTGCTAGCAATAACTGTTTACTGGTGACACCTTTCATGTCAACACCAGAACTTTTTATTACAGAATTAAATGTCCTGAAAGTAAACAAATAAATTTCCATTAGTAGAAGTTATAGATTTAAAAAAAACCTGAAAGTTCTGAGTTTAAAAATATTTCTATCAGTTTTATATAGATAAAAAGAAAAGAGCTTAGAGGAGTATTAAAACCTGAAATTTTGGACAATACATGATCACTTTTTTACCATTTATTTACTTTTTTTATCTGTTTAATGTACAATGCAGTTAAATGTCAATAAATAATTATTTCACATTTACTTCAACATTGTGCAATGAATAAGCTTAGTACAGTGTAACTTCTTGACAGCATGTCATTAAATTTTCAATATTTTCAATGCAGTCATCTAATTTATTTTTACTTAACTGAGAACTTTGGACCATCACATGATGTTTGTTTGTTTGTTTGTTTAATTTTACGCCTTTTTCCAACAGTATTTCAGTCATATAGGCGGGTAGTTTCCTAACCATCGTTCCTGGAGAGTTACACCAGTACTAGACTACCTTCCTCCGCACTAAACTACCAAAGCATCTCCCGGGGATCGAACCCACGCCAGAGAGACCATCAGATGAAGGGCTGAACTAATAACATGTGCAAACTTTCAGATTTATTTGCTCACTCTGTTTATTTTCTATTATCTAAAACAATATTACCCAAAAATGAAAAACGTTTTGAACCCTTTTCACTCAAATTGGTCTTAGAATCGTATAAAATTGACTTTCAATTAAATTCAGAGTATATCTTTTAATTATAATTGACATATTTTCCTGTTTGATCTATAAAAGAATTTCAAATTTTATGTTTTAGTTTTTTTGGACCACCATGGAACTGCTTAGTCATTTATCACGGATGATTATCTAGAATAATTAAACAGGTATAAATGGGTATTTACATAGACTGGAATATTGCATCTTTTGAGCTCGCCTCTTTTCTCAACCTTGTCCATACAATGGCTATATTTTTTAGACCATCATCAATAGCTGTAAACGCATGTACTATAGTTTGAATGGCTTCCATCCATTTCTCCTGTAGCATGTAACACTCCAACAACTTCTCAAACATCTTAATCAAGTTTGGCTGCAAAAGAAAACAACAAAACATACAAGTACTTGTTACACTTGAATTTAAGCAAGTTTATAAAACAGTATCTTGTGTTTGAGTTGTGCTAAAATAAATGACTTTGTCATCCTTCAGGCATAAAGTCCACAGGACCTGTTTTGTTGTTGTTGTTTTCTTTTTGTCAGAATAAAGTTTCAAAAAGTGAGTGGCACATGTGTGAAACATTGCAGAACTTACTAAGTATAGTATTTGCACATTTTGTTGGTAAACATTATCTTGTTTTCTATTATAATTCATGAAAGTCAAATATCAGGAACTCTTCCGATGTGATCATAGGAAAATATGAAAACATTGAAATCATGCAGTGTCTAAAAATTATATAACTACATATTTCATCAATTATATAATTATTAATACATTAATTAGCTTTTAATTAAATATGATATAAGTGTACCTGTTCGCAGGTATGTAGCTGCTCTATGACTGTAGTATAAAGAGAGGCCGCCTCATTGTAGTATTTTGCCTGCATACATGCTGCCCCAATCATATTACATACACAACCTAAAACAAGTTAAAACTTTTACATTAATCCAAGTCATTGCTGCAACCAAATGTACATGTTATTTAGTACAAACATGGTATTAAGTCCTAGTTTTGCAGCATTAAATAAAGAAACAGGGATATTTTAAGGATTTAACTGTAACTTAAAGCTTAAAAATTATGTACTGATAATTTACAATATCCTAGACATTTAATTTTAAGTTTTATAGCATTAAGTAAAGAAAAAAATCTTGTATAATTATCTAAGCATTAAGAAAGCAAAGGAAAGTAGAACATTTTTTTGTTATTAAACACACGCATACAATACATTTGTTCAGGATACTGGATTAAACAAAGGCATATTCAAAGAGTACCTATATTATATCTCTTGGAGTGAAGTGATTTTTCTGTGAGCAATGTAATGTTGTCATCCAAAAATTTTGTGAACTTTTGAGCTGTGTCAACACATTCTTTAAACAGCTCTACTCCTTCAAAATATATTAAAAATAATATAGTACATTCCTATATCCTTAACATTGACTTAATTTATTCCAAAATCTGAAAATTGCTAATACTAATCATGAAAAAAGTCGTTGATTCATCTTGCAGTTAAGGATAAGAATATTTTTAATAGTTATGACCTCTGAAATTTAATCAGTCTGGAAAGATGTAAAATTTGGTCTGACATATACAAAGTCAAACTTGTCTTTGCTACTCACTAAATATAATGACTTCCTATCATTTACAACCCTATGTAAAACACCTGATGTTAATCACTATCATACACTATGTGAAGCCGCTGAATTAAATGACTCCCCTATGTGATGCTAGTATATATGTAACAACCATAATTTTAGTAACCCTTAACAATTACTTTACTGAATAAAACAACTTTTATAGTTTCAGTCTAAATAATGTAACCTAAAAATAATTTCCACACCTTGACAATGAACGATGTAGTTTCTAAATCAAAAAGAGGTAAAATTTAATTATGAAATCATCAGGAAAAAGTTCAAAATAACAAGAGCTGTCGGTAGGACAGCACGCTCGACTATTCTAAGTGCTTGATAGTAAAAGAGCCTTGATAACGTAAAATTTAGAGCTTTGATAATGTTAAATTTTCTAAGTTCACAAAAGGGCTAATTTTTTTTTTTTTATAAATTCATGTTATAGGCCTTAGAGACAGTCTAATTATACAGTATTGGCTTGACTATTCGGAAGGTAATGTCACAGGGGTGTTTTATTGAGTATAATAATACTAATTACCTATGAATACATAAAATTGACAGAAAAGGTACAAAGGCTTGTTATTAAGATATTTTATCAAGTAAATCCCTGCTTTATTATTATGAATGCATATAATTGTTCCAAAAAAGGCACAAACCCTTCAGTAATTATAGAGATAACAGCTTACAAGCAAAACTTTACCATGAATTTCTAAGTTGAAAAAGGGGAGAAAAATCAGCCTAAATGCAAAATAGAATTATGGATCTTTGTCAGTGACCTACAATTATGACCCTAAATGCATATGTGAAGTTTTAAATAAATATCTTTAATAGTTATTGAGATATGTAAAACTTGCATGTAAAAATTAACCAAGAGACTAAGTAGAAAAGGGGATATGAATCAGCCTTAATGCAGGATAGAGTTATGGAACTTGGTCAGTGACATACAATTATGACCCTCAAATTATGACCCTAAGTACATGTGTAAAGTTTCAAGTAAATATCTTTGAAGACCTTTAACCTTGAACAAAAATTTTCTAAGTTTCAAATTTAAGGGGCAAATAGTTCTGCAAATATTGCAGGCAGAGTTATGCAATTTTGCAAACTGATGTACATTGTTACTATAAACAAGAGCTGTCACAGGAGACAGCGAAGCTCGACTAATAAAATACTGGACGCAGTAAGGAGGACAAAACTATGAATCAAGGGGAATAATTCTAGAAATAGTCATGCTAGAGTTATGGACCTTGTCACACAACATTTGTGTAATGATAAGAAATATATATTTGAAGTTTGAAGTAGATACCTTAACAAGAACTGTCGGAGGACAGTATTGGCTCGACTATTCAAAATGTTGTCACAAGGGTGATTTATTGAGTATAATAATGCTAGTTACCTATGAATACATAAAATTGACTGAAAAGGTACATAGGCTTGTTATAAAGATGTTTTATCAAGTAAATCACTGCTTTATTATTATGAATGCATAAAAATGTCCCCAAAAAGGCACAAACTCTTCAGTAGTTATGGAGAGAACAGCTTACAAGCAAAATTTTACAATGAATTTTTAAGTTGAAAAAGGGGAGAAAAATCAGCCTAAATGCAAGATAGAATTATGGATCTTGGTCAGTGACCTACAATTATGATTCTAAATGCATATGTGAAGTTTTAAATAAATATCTTTAATAGTTATTGAGATATGTAATACTTGCATGTAAACATTAACCAATAGACTAAGTAGAAAAGGGGAGATGAATCAGCCTAAATGCGAGTAGAGTTATGGAACTTGGTCAGTGACATACAATTATGACTCTCCAATTATGACCCTAAGCACATGTGTAAAGTTTCAAGTAAATATCTTTGAAGAACTTTAACCTTTAACCAAAATTTCTTAGAGTTTCAAAGGGGCAAATAATTCTGCAAATATTGCAGTCAGAGTTATGCAATTTTGCAAACTGATGTACATTGTTACTATAAAAAAGTATTGTAAATTTCAATTGAATATCTCAAGCAATAATTGAGATATTTGACTTTACAAAAAAAAGCATTAACCAAATTTCTAAGTTATAAAGGGGCATAATTCTGTAAATATTATAGGCAAGTTATTCAACTTGTTAATATATGATGAGCATTGTTACTATCAATAAGTATTGTAAGTTTCAATTGAATATCTCAAGCAATAATTGAGATATTTGAATCTACAAAAACTTTAACCAAAATTTCTAAGTTGAAAAGGGGCATAATTCTGTAAATATTGTAGGCAGAGTTATCGAACTTGTCAATCTGATGTATATTGTTACTATAAATAAGTATTGTAAGTTTCAATTGAATATCTCAAGCAATAATTGAGATATTTGAATTTACAAAAAACTTTAACCAAAATTTCTAAGTTAAAAAGGGGCATAATTCTGTCAATATTGTAGGCAGAGTTATCCAACTTGTCAATCTGATGTATATTGTTACTATAAATAAGTATTGTAAGTTTCAATTGAATATCTCAAGCAATAATTGAGATATTTGAATTTACAAAAAACTTTAACCAAAATTTCTAGGTTAAAAAGGGGCATAATTCTGTCAATATTGTAGGCAGAGTTATCCAACTTGTCAATCTGATGTATATTGTTACTATAAATAAGTATTGTAAGTTTCAATTGAATATCTCAAGCAATAATTGAGATATTTGAATTTACAAAAAACTTTAACCAAAATTTCTAAGTTAAAAAGGGGCATAATTCTGTCAATATTGTAGGCAGAGTTATCCAACTTGTCAATCTGATGTATATTGTTACTATAAATAAGTATTGTAAGTTTCAATTGAATATCTCAAGCAATAATTGAAATATTTTAATTTACAAAAAACTTTAACCAACGCAGACGCCGACGCGGACGCCGACGCCGACGCCGGGGCGACTACAATAGCTCTCATATTCTTCGAATAGTCGAGCTAAAAAGTAAAGAAGTTATTATATTTCTTAAAGAAAATCCTAAGTTCAAAGGGAGATAAATCTGTAAATATTGCTTCAAGACTTATGAACATTGTCACATAAAATGTATTTGATGATTAGGAATAAGTATTTGAAGTTTGAGGTAGATACCTTTAAAAATAAAAAAGTTATAATAAAAAATAACATTTTTCTAGTAAAAAAATCTAAGTTTATGGGGAGATAATTCTTGCAATATTGGTGCTAGAGTTATGAACCTTGTCACATAAGATGTGGATGATGATAACGTTAATATATTTGAAGTATGAAGTTGATCCCTTTAGAAATAAATAAGTAACAGTAAAAAAATAATATTTTTTATGGAAAATTCTAAGTTCAAAGGGAGATAAATCTGAAAATATTGGTGCTAGAGTTATGAACCTTGCCACATAAGATGGGGAGGATGATAACGTAAATATATTTGAAGTATGAGGTTGATCCCTTAAGAAATAAAGAAGAAACAGTAAGAAATAGCATTTTTTTAGGAAAATTCTAAGTTCAAGGGGAGATAAATCTGAAAATATTGTCGCTAGAGTTATGAACCTTGTCACATAAGATGGGGATGATGATAAGGTACATACATTTAAAGTATGAGGTTGATCCCTTAAGAAATAAAGAAGTAACAGTAAAAAATAGTATTTTTTAAGGAAAATTCTAAGTTCAAGGGGAGATAAATCTGAAAATATTGGTGCTAGAGTTATGAACCTTGTCACATAAGATGTGGTTGATGATAAGGAACATATATTTGAAGTTTGAAGTTGATACCTTAAGAAATGACAAAGTTATAGTGAAAAATATTTTACTGCACCAAAACTTTAATCTAAAATCTGGACGCGGACGCCGACGCCGGGGCGAGTAGGACAGCTCTCCATATACTTCGTATAGTCGAGCTAAAAAGTGTTTTAAATTTCAATTGAATATCTCAAGCAATAATTGAGATATTTGACTTTACAAAAAAACTTTAACCAAAATTTCTAAGTTAAAAAGGGGCATAATTCTGTCAATATTGTAAGCAGAGTTATCCAACTTGTCAATCTGATGGACCTTGTTACTATAAATAAGTATTGTAAGTTTCAATTGAATATCTCAAGAAATAATTGAGATATTTGACTTTGCAAAAAACTTTAACCAAAATTTCTAAGTTTAAAAGGGGCATAATTCTGTCAATATTGTAGGCAGAGTTATCCAACTTGTCAATCTAATGTACCTTGTTACTATAAATAAGTATTGTAAGTTTCAATTGAATATCTCAAGCAATAATTGAGATATTTGACTTTACAAAAAACTTTAACCAACGCAGACGCAGAAGCCGGGCGACTACAATAGCTCTTATATTCTTCGAATAGTCGAGCTAAAAATTGATGATTTTGTATGGACTCAATTGTTTATGTTTCATATAGATATGGATATAAAATACCTGAGTCAGCATCTACTATTTTTTGGAGCAATGTTAACTGTTTGTAGTACACTTGACAACATCCCTGAACATAATCCTGTTTTTTTGTGGGCATATCATACAACTTGTCCTTCTTCATATCACAACTCTGTTTCTTGACCTCCTTTGATTTCTTCTTTGTATCTTTTGTTTCATCATCCCAAACATTTGCTGCATCAAGTTTCTCGTATGTAGCATGTACAACTGTACAACTGTCTAATAAAACCTTTACTATACCAATATCTAAGATATCATATACCTTGGAGGAGAACGGTTGCAAGAACCACTCCAACGTTCGAAACACAAGTTTCAAATTTTCAACAGATTCAGTCTGTATCATCTTTGTGAGGTCACTGTTTACAGCTCTAATACTTTCACTGCTGACACCTAGCGGTTTTGAGGTTTTGACAGCCTCTGTGGCAATGACAGAATATGACAATACATCTATTAATACAGCATACAGTGGAGTGGTTCCACAAGATAATGTCATATTTTGAACAACTTCTCTTGCTTTCTCAAAATCTGACATACTGACAAGATATTCAATGAACAAAGCTTGTACTCTGTATATGACAAACCTGTATACTGAAATACTCTCAACACTTGTCCCACTGTTTGATAACGTCTGTAATTTATCAACGATACATTGGAAAATACTATAAAACATCTCTGATGTCCCTTTATCGATCCACTTCCTGTTAAACTGTGTATAATAAGCAATGACAGTGTGTAACAACACGCATAGCTTGGCAGGATTGATTGGTGTGCAGCATAAAAATTGGAGAGATAGCTTCTGTAGAGCCAGGTCATCTTTCAAGCTTTGTGATGTTCCTGAAAATTATTATACATTCATTATATTGTACATGTAATTATGATCATCAAACAGTATGTTTCAAGCTTTATGAGGTCCATTCAGTAAGTTTTCATCTTGTATAAAAGAGGCCTATAAAAGGCCTCTTCCAAATGAAATGGAAATTTTCTCTTCTTTTCTCAAAACCTGAACTTACACCAATTTTTTTTACTTCCATAATAAGCATTTTTAGTGTTAATTTTTTCTCAAATCAAGAGGCTAAGGCCTCTATCTAATTAAGTGAGAAAAAACAACAGACATTAAAAGGTTTGTATATTACCAAAACATTACCCACACAGTCTGGATATTACAACAAAATATCAAAACAATATTTCAAACATTTTTGTAGATTGAAAAAACCTTTTACTGACCTTGACACCAAGTTTTGTTCATACAAACAAATGTACAGATAACTATTCAAGAAAATACTAAGTTCTAAGATCTTCCTGCTTTGTACATAAACATTTTGTCTGCAGTATATACCTTTGTCAGAGATTAAGCCTCTAATCACTATTTTACGAAGCCCTCCTGACATGTTAACTTTAGTGTAAAATTACAGAAAGACATTATTATTCCTAGAGAAACAAAGACATTAAATACCTTGTTTGAGGATGTTACTTGGTAACTAGCTTCCACAATATACTATGGAAAGCAGCCAAAGAGATTGTGGTGGGACGTATCAGGACAGCCAGCATCATCTAGTATCATGTATACAATCTCTGATATCTTCACAACATACTCCAGGTATGTCTGTAATATATAAAACAATACTAAAATGTAATATCAAGGTTATAACTTATCACAAGAATCAGTCTTCACGAAAAACTTTAAAAAGCACAGGACATTCGGGCCAGTAAAATTTGAAATCTTACTGGCGCTTATTTCGAAGACTGAAGAATTTTTTTGTTATACATCACAGTCTCTTTGTAATTAACAGTATAGCTATACTTAAAACATATATTAACAAGGTTTTAAAAAAAAAAAAAATAGGTACTACAATATTGTAGAACATTAAACTTAAATACAAGTGACAACTGTGATGAGAATTTATATTAACAAACATTAAAATATCAGGGTGCAAACTATTGACTATCAACTTTTAGAAGATGATTTGTGGTTAGGTTACAGAGGTTAACATTGGTATTTGAATAAATTATGTTACTCTATAATGATAATCATTCTGAAGGTAAAATAGACTGAGCGAAGAATGCTTCAGAAATGTTGTTCTATACATGTTATAATAAAGCTTACGAATGCTGCGTCTTGTATGGTGCGTAAGAGATGGTACAATAATGATGGCACAACATGAGTCTTGTCTACATCTAGAAACGGTTGTAACTGCTTGTAAGCTTGTGCACATACAACAGCTGTCTTCAGAATTTCTTCCACTTCAACTTTGTCTTGTACATTTTTGGATTTTGTCATGCATCTATGAAGGCAGTTTTGAACAAATTCACTGTATAGCTTTGCTTCTTCATGTTTTAATTTGTCCTTCCCTGCTCCCTTTAGAAATGCCTGTGAAAAAATAGAGAAAAAAAGGATTAGTCAATAAAGATACATACACAAAATGATCTTGTATTACCATACTTTAACTACAAAAAGGTGAGACATGTATGCAGGCATTATTCTGCCTATTTCATCTTCATGTCAGTCAAACATCTAAGGAGGATATAAACAAGTACAGTCAATACTGTCTTAAGCAGCCAGCCAAGGGATGAAGTCATTTTGGCTGCTTAAGAAAAAAACAGGTGGCTGCTGAATGGAGGATCAAGTTATTATTCAAATTATTCTTCATTTTTTTATGTGCTTGGGAGTTTACCAATCAGGATTTAGTAAAAATAATCATTAATTTGCTTCATCTTAAGGCACTGTATCAATTATTATACAAAGGAACTATGTTAATATTTTTTTCAAGCTGTATGTAAAGTGCTATTTAAATTTAAGAATCTTATCAGGAAACTTATTAGAATAAAATTAATTAAGAAAGTGTTTACAATCAGTCAAATTTTTAATGAATGTGTATATTTTTGGATGATGAAATGTGGATGATGATAATTTTAAGATGAAGTAAATTTATGGCTATGTTTTTCTTATATTTTCTATCTTAGATCAGAAGAATGAATGGATGCTGGAAAGCTCTAGGCTCATATGGAAACTGCTCCAAGAACTGCTATGGCTAAAGCATTTTCTCGCAAAAAGGGACCTCACTACTGGCATTAAATAACATATATTATTGATTAATTTATTTTTAAATCTCATTCAAAGTAAATTTGAAATGTGCCTCCAATTAGTGAAGTTAAGTTTGGGAGTCATTTACTCCTGATTTTGGCTTGTGACTTCCAAAATATAATGCTTTACTTTCTTTACCTGTAATATAACAGGTCTAGGATTTCATAATATTTACGGACTGTCTGTAAATTTTTGGACTAACCATTATTTTACAGATTTTTATATCTGTAAATTTACAGACATTAAGTAAGAAAATAGTAGAAGTTGCATTAAAATTAAAAAAAAAATTTAAAATGAATAATGTCTCATATTATATGATTAAATATAAGGGAAACGGACAAAAGCCCTCCCAGACAAAAGCCCTCCCGTCCAAAAATGACAGGGCGGACAAAAGCCCTCCCGTGAAAATGACAAGGCGGACAAAAGCCCTCCCATGAAAATGACAGGGCGGACAAAAGCCCTCCCGTGAAATTAACAAGGCGGACAAAAGCCCTCCCGTGAAATTAACAAGGCGGACAAAAGCCCTCCTGTTACGAAATATATATGTGTGTTACACACCTGTTGTTTTTTTTCAATGCACTTAACATATCAAATTTGAAGCATATATATTTGTTGTTGTTTTCTATTGGTCTAAGTATTTTCATGAGCTAGAACCACCTTTCATTCAGAATATACCTTTCAGAAATGTTTAACGAGGTAACATTTTTACATGAATGTCGACCGTTTAAAACAAAGGAACTTTTAAAAGACTCATTACAAGGCACATTATAGATGTCTTGGACTTTTAATTTTAGTTAATTTAAACTTCTTTTCATCATTTATTACTCTATTGATCTTAATTTCACACAGAAGTAATTCTTCATTTTTACGTGAATAAATATGCACTTAAAGATTTTAGCACTTATTATTCAGATGCCTGTCAGGAATGTGCTCTAGTTCATACAAACACGCTTATGCCAATTGGAAACAAAAATATTCATGATAACAATTTTAATATGTTGAGTGCATTGAAATGAAAGTACAAACTTTTCAATGTACATATATGTATTTGCTGCAGGAGGGCTTTTGTCCGCCCTGTTATTTTAACGGGAGGGCTTCTGTCCGCCCAGTCATTTTTCAGGGAGGGCTTTTGTCCGCCCTGTCATTTTCACGGGATGGCCTTTGTTCGCCTTGTCATTTTTGGACGGGAGGGCTTTTGTCCGGGAGGGCTTTTGTCCTACACTATGGAAAAATTTAGAACAATTTGATGACTTTCAAGTTTTACTTTTAACAAAAATTTCAAAATCATCATTATACATACAAAGTTGAAACTCACCCCATTACCTTTTAAATATAAACAATCAATAAAACAACTTATCTTAAGCTGCGGATTTTAGTGTAATTCTAAAAACAGCTAATTTTACATCAAATATCTGTAATTGTATTCATGTCATTAAACAAGATACTGTCAATTAAAGACACAAAGGAAGTGTGAAAGAGACTACATGTATATACTGTCTTAATATATATCAAAGGAAAATTCACACATAAGTTCACACACTTCAATAGAAAGATTATTCTACAATTAGTTATATCACTTTCACTTTAATTAAAATATATAAAGAAAGACATTACATCTTTAACTGTAGCTATTTTAACAATCAACGCAGCGTGTATCTTAATAACGTTCACTTAGTTGATAACGAAAACAGTTTTGAAAGCTTAATAAATTCAACAAATGTGCCCAAACTGTTGAATCTTTGTAAATTTATCCTTAAGTCTTGGCAAAATTTTAATTATATAGCATCCAACATGTTTATGATAATAGTTTTACAGACTTACCCTTTTTCTCGCCAAAATAATCCATAAAGATACTTCTGCAATACCTGAATACATATATACTCAGTGTGAGAACTTTCTCATATTGAGCGCGCGCATATCTATTTATATCTTTCGCCAATTATAAATTATCCGTTATAATGCTACCTGATTGAATTTTACCCGAAACAGCGTAATTAAATTACAAACTTATCGCTTCAAAACTCTTTCAAAAATATACTTATTTTATTTACTTTATTATTATTATTACTATTTTCCAATAATGGTAATAATAACAATAATAATAAATACACCAAGGTCAAGATCTATATTGAAGCGTGACATACAGTAATCAAGGGAGAATCTCAAAATTATATTTGAACGTAAAGTTTTATTTATAACTTGATTGAATCTCTTAGTACATTCTTTTTTATATGTGTGTTTTTTGTTTTTGTTTTTATTAATATTTCTTGTTTTTCTTATCAAGATGAACTGTTAAATTATCTAGAATTAAGAATATCCGAATTCCCCCCCCCCCAGAAAACACACTGTAATAATTCACTTCACCATATTGTTTACATTATAGGAAAAAAAATATATTGTGCAAAATTATGTATGTTTACTGCTGGAAAACTAATGTATTATATATGTGTTATATTAGAAAATCCTCATATTGTACAAATGTGCTTGAGTGAATAAAGATATCTGTCTGTCTGTCTAAAAATAAAATAAAGACTAAAGAATTTACTTACTTATAACTTTGTGATATGAGCCTTATTTTAGGGCAAAAAAACAACAATTTATATCCATTGTCATTGGTCAATTACATGATAAAATAATACGGGGAAGACAAAGCTTCGCGGGCCCGGGCTTTGGCTTGCCCGGCTATAGACTACACGTGTATATTTAAAAGAAAATCAAATAAAAAAACAATTAAAAAATATATAGAATTCTATACCTATCAATGAAATTTTCAGTGTCAGTTCTAGTTAGGCGCCGTCATTTACAATGTAACTCAATGATAAAAGGCGGTGTATTCCGATAACGGAACAAATTTCAACTTTTCGGATTAAAAATAATCGTCCAGTGTTCCGAGTGAAAACGGAAGCTGGTATATATATATATCTGAATGACACCTTTAAAACGAAAAAAATGAAAGGATTTTTTACCAACTTCCCCGTACATAGGCTTTGCCTAATTTCATATTAATAAAAATGTTAAAACAATAAACGTAGGGCCTACTCAATCACTATTAATTACATTTAACATTTTCTATATAAATTGTTGTTAAACACAAAATAAAAAAAATGGGGGGTGAAGTGTCTCAATCAAATTTCTTAAAATGAGGGGTGAACTGTCTGCAAAAAAAGGGCCTAGGGTGAAGTGTCTGGGGGGGGGGGGGGGGTGGAAGTGTCTGTTAACCGTAATCACAACGCCTAACAAGGTTGGCACAGCGTCAGAGGTCTGACAAAATTGTTTGTGACTTGGCAAATGCTAAAAAAGAAATTGATGACATTTTCAAAAATAGATAAAATTTCAAACACTCAACATGGTCTTTCAAATAGAAACTTTCAAAATATAAGAAATTATAAACAGAAAAAATAATTTTCTGTTTGACATATCAGTGACAGCACAGCTTGTGTATTCTACCTCTATTTGAGAACTCAATCCCACTTCGAATGATTTCGACGCTTCGTTGAGTAGTTTACGAGCCGTTGCCATCGTCAATTACATAAAAATTAGGACTTGTTCTTTCATAACATAACTAATTTACAAGAATTCTTTTGAAAGAACCGCCTTTCTAAATTCTTTTACGGTGATCATATTTTTTGCTAGTTGTGAACCTCAGTTCGGCAGATGTAAAGTGCGAAAATTTTATTCCCGGAGGGAGACAGAGGATTAATACGCGAAAGGACTTTTAGCGTCCGAAAAGCGATTACTCTCTCAATCAACTGAATTTATAAAAAATATTTAAACAAATGAAAAGCAAATATTATTCTAGCAAAACACATGCTGATTTTAGAACAATAAGATCATCATATACAATGTTTATCAAGAGTCCTCTCCCATACCATTAAAAAATCCTATCTTCATATCAAACAGTTCTAATAAAGTAGTTAACGGACAGAAACAATAAAAATATATACTGTCTTTCAAAATAAACATACTATGTAGATAAAGTCCCAAATACCACAAGGTTCCACATTATGGTGTGAAATATGAACACATTCATTTGACTACAGGAAATAGGAACGCCAACACAACAAAAATCTGACAGACTCGGTTGATTTGATCCTGTCCATGGACGGCATAAAATACAAAAAATAAGATATATAAAAAATAACTAACATAATTTCTGTTCTAAAATATCAAGTCATGTAATTTAGACACAACTTCGGGGTTTCTCTTCTAATTAAAACATTACATGTAATTATACCAGTTAACCTGTATTTACACAAATATACGAATATATGTCATGATCTACCCAGCCCCTACTTTTGATTATGGATATATTATTTGGTCCCAAAGTAACAAATCAGACCTTGGTCCCAAAGTATCAAATCAGACCTAAATAGCATAACAAAATTGCAAAAAAGAACCGCAAGAATTATTTTAAATAAACCTGTAAAAACAAATTCTCCTGTTATTTTAAATAAAAGATTGTTTCAAGGTAGAATATCAGAATCCAAACTTATTAAATTAGAAGATACCAGAAAATGTTTTAATGGCTTTTTTATCCCTCGTAACCTATAACAACATGAATTGTATTTGATCTCCTTACAATTTCGTTAATATAATGTAAAATATTTACAAAGAGCTGGCGAGGTTCATTTTAAACCGTTTGCAAAATAAAACGGAAAAGCTTAATATAAAATTTAATGTTAAACGTTGCAAAACAAATATTGCCAAAGTCATTCTTTTAAGATTTGTCCTTCTTCTAAATTAACATAAAGTTTACACATTCATTGTCGTTTTTCTTCGTGTTCAATTTCGTCTTCTAAATTTCTTCTCCCTTCTTTTCTTCTTAAAAAAGGTACACAAAATCGATGCAATAAATATCTTAAAACTCTAATCGATTGATGATTTAAAATTAATTATATAAAAGAAATTTTAGATAGTCCAGGCTTGGGACATTAGGGTGGCATTTCTCACGCGTGTCCACTCTCATAGACTGAGACAAATTTGAAAGTCTTAGTTATTTCCCTATATCTTTTTTACTGCCTTTAAAAAGTTAGCTGTTTTTTATCAATGCTGTTTTAACATTTTGTAAATTTATAATGTATGTCATCAATATTTCAATACATTGACACAATTTTCGATTATTTTATGCCCGACATTTCAAGTTATCTTTTATTTAATGCTAATAAACAAAACTTCTTCCCCCAAGCTAAACGCTTAGGGAACTGCATGAAAGTCGAAAGGTCAGTTCGATTCTGTCATATTTACAAAAGATACTTTGGAAATAAAGGAAAAATATGTTTTAGAGAAACCAGTTCATTCAACATTATCTCAACGCAATCCCTTCAATATTATCTTTATAAAACACCTTTTTTGAGTAGCATATGTCATCAAGCTTTTTCAATTTCTTAATTATGACTTACAGGGCTGGGAATCAAAACTGCGTCGTATCCTACAAAATTTAAACAAACGCCGCCACCTTGGAACGAAAAACGTATGTTTTTGATTATAACTTTTTTTTTTGTTGGAAATGCTGAAAAAACAGATTATATTGATTTAAACGCCGTACAAACTATTTTTCCGCTTCGTTCGGTTTATATGTTGCTTGGGCACAATATTTTTGGCAAAACAAAATTTAATAGCCGAACAAGCTTTGCAACTAACGGAGCTCAGGAATTTTTTTGAAAATTTCCCTGGATACGACGCAGTTCATATTTTTCCCTTTATTATCGTTTTTTCCGAAACAAATCAAGTTTGTATACTAGTTTCAGAGTTCACCATTAACTTCAAAATATGGATTTTGCCATTCATTTTACTAAAATTTTCATAAAAAAAGATGTTTAATTTTTCCAACGAAAATTAATATTTTTACGAAAATGATAACGACGCAGTTGAAAAAAAATTATGAAACACCTAGCCATTGTAATTTTTTCCTCAGTCTTTTTCAACAGGGGTTTAATTTTGCAATAATATGTCTATTTTATGGAATAAATCCAACTTTGCGCTAAGATGAAAAAAAACCCCAGATTCATTTGCGGTGTTTATTAGCATGTTCTGTTGCTATTTATTATTTAGAATACATTTTGGTGTCATGTCCAATTATAACACTTTAATTTGAAAGTTTACAATTGCGGAACGCCTACACTTTACAGGTTAAACATGAAACATGTTATTAATTTACTCCATAATTTTTTTTAAAAAATTTAATTTCTTATACGCCATGTATTATTTCCCCTTTTTTTAATCTTCCAATATTATCCCAAAAATATAATATTGGCAAAAATTTATAGAAAGGTCTATGAACTTGTAAATTTATTTTGGCTAGCTGCGCTCTAAGTAATCTGTGGTTTTCTGGCATGTTCTGGTAACCAAGGTAATTTTTTTTGAGGTTTGTTTTCAAACTCTTTCACATTACATCATATTAGCCTTTTACTGGGGGGGAAGAACCTCAGGTGCGCCTTTGTGTGCATTATTTCAGGCAAAAAACGTTGCAACCTGAGAGAACCATCGACATTTCGAAAACTACATGTAGCTTGATAGGTTTCCCCACCGAAAAAGAATAAAAAATCCCTGGTGGTTTTCGAATTCATAGCCATTCAGTTCAAGTGAATTTGAATTCGTAAAACATAAACAGCTCGTCGGCTTCGGGTCGTGAAAACACCAGTCCTGTCTGAGATTTTTTTTCAAACCAATTTGTTAAAATTTTTCAGCTGTACAAATAAGCAGTTTTAGTGTGGTGTGTTTTTATTAACCCTTCTGGCGTGAAATTTTAAGATTATAAAATATTTGAATTAATTATAAAGACAATAACATTTAACTTTCTTATTGAAATGAAATAGTTCCTTAATCTCTAAGATTAATTTTCTTTGATATTTCGGTGCGAATAGGCAGAAGAAATTTTCAATGTAAAACAGGGGGTAATCCTCTTTGAAGTCATTTTCTGAAAAATTTTGTTTAATTTTTCAGGCAATTCATTTTCAAATAAAAATCACACTTTAATTTGAAGGTATGTTTAGATGCCATGTCTCTAGTCTGTGGAAAATTCGATGCGATAATCTGATTTAAATTTTCTCTTCAATTTAGTGAAAACTTTTTTCAATACTATTGAAACGTCCTGTCGTGCATACATCTGTATCAAATTTATCGGTGCAAAGAGTAAAATACCTTTGCAAAACGGACACCTACTTTACCAAATAATTTGTAGTTTTATCATTTGTAACTAGATTTTGAAATTTAAAGCTTATTAATGGAGAAGAATGATACTATAGTGCAAAAATAGAAAATACATTCCGTAGACCTGTTCTCATCAGCGAAATACAATACGACAATGCAATACGGTAAAATTCCGCGGCGCTGAACGAAAAATGACTGAACGGAACGCATATACCCTACTTGTAAAAATATATCGTACCTTAAACATTTAACCGCCTCCGTGGTCGAGGGGTTAGAGTCGATGATTTCTAATCCAGTTACCTCTCTGGTGTGGGTTCCATCCCCGGGAGATGCTTTGGTAGTTTAGCGCGGAGGAAGGTAGTCTAGTACTGGTTTACTCTCCAGGAATGATGGTTAGGAAACTACCTGCCTATATGACTGAAATACTGTTGAAAAAAGGCGTAAAATGAAACAAACAAACAAACAAACAAACAAACAAACTTAAACATCTATAATATAATTTTAAAAATCTAATGTTCAGTTTCAAATTATAAAGCTCATCTGTTCTCACCGATTATTAACAAAATGAATACAATAAAATCGGCACGTAATAGACATAATAACGGCATTGGCGGAAATTGTTGCTAATTATAAATAACAAAGGTAGGCAGACCTTTACAAAATTTGTGATTTCAAAAAAACAACAAGGTCATTCCTGATTGATACAGGGTCCAGGAGAGGTTACCCTGGAATATTGAATTTTGTATCAAAATTCTGTAAATGAAAAAAGTAAACACCCCAATTTCGAATCTCAGGAACAAGTTTATAAGCATGAAAAGGCAACACTAGAACACGTTGTCATATGGGTGTGCGATCACGTGTCTCAATGTATATTGCATTTGATACAGTTTTCCGGAATTTGTAGATGCTTATGACAGGAACTAAAAATGCGACCGAAAAATGAAGCCTTAATAGAATTTTATTACATTTTCCATTTTTGTGGAACCAATGAGTGACCTCTGCTTTTGACTTAATTAAGTTGTAAACAAGAAATGTTGTTGGACGTTATTAGCATACCTAGCACATATAATTAATAGCTGAACCAATATGCAGCCAAAAAATGAAAATACAACTGCGTCGTATCATATTTTATTTTCAACTGCGTCGTATCATTTCGTAAAAATCATTATTTTCTTGGAAAATAAACATCTCTTTTTTATGAAATTTTAGTAAATGATGCAAAATCATATTTTGAAGTTAATGGTGAACTCTGACACTAGTATACAATTGATTTGTAGGAAAAAACGATAGATAAAGCAATATGAACTGCGTCGTATCCAGACATTTTCACAAAAATTCTGCTCCGCTTCGAGTTGCAAGTTCGCTATAACTTTTGTTTTACAAAATAGTTGTGCAAGCAACATATGCCGAACGAAGCGGAAAATAGTGTAGCGTGTCAATACATATATCTGGTTTTCAGCCATTTCCAACA